ATGGCAGTATCTAAATATATCTAAATATAATATGGTTAATTCAAAACTCGATTTGATTAAAAAATTGAATTTAAAAATTAATTTTATATATTTTTGTTTTATTCAGTTTATTCAAATTTAATTAATTTTAAATTAAATTAAATTTTTTTTTTGAATAAGCTATTATAGCAAAAATTATTTCATAAAAGTAATTTAGTGAAAGTAAATAACATTTATTCTCCGTTCTAACAAACTTTTAAACGCAGATGTTTTGCAAATAATTGTTGCTTTAACTTATTAGATTATATTATCTTCTTCCGAAGGTATTTTCTGTTGAAAAGTATCAACAGATGAGATAAAATAAAATATTCTAGTAATGATAAGTTCATTATTTAAGTTACTATTTTCTTTGAAAACAAATAAAAAAAAATTTAGTTTTTTTTAAACATATTCCTGAAAACAATTTATAATCCATTAAATAAGAAGATATTTAAAATGCTTTTAAATAATATATGAACAATTTAAAATTTATTTATTTAAGTCATTACATTTAAATGACGAAGTCAGTAATGTAGTATTACACTCCATTAATCCCATTATATACGGATTAATAAAATCAACTAATAACTCTAAAGTAAATGATGGATACTTGGCAATATTTGAAACAGTTTTATGATCAATTTAATTAATTAAATAAAATTTTTATCTAGTTATATTGAAAACTTTGAGAAATATATTTAATATTAAGCATATTAATGGAAAAAACAATGTAAATCATTATATATTTTATTTTATTATTATTTTTTATTTTATTATATATTTATGGGTTTTTTTAAAAGACTTATTTAACTTTTTAAACCATATAAAATAAATAATAAAAATACACTAATTTCCATTTAAAATTTAAAGGAGGATTTTAAATTAAAAATAGACTTATACTTAAAATAAATAGACTTAAAATAAATATATTGATATATCTTATCAATTATTTGAAACAATTATATAAATTTTATTAATAAAAATTATAAAATAAACTTTTTGTAAATAAACTAACTGAAGAATAATCACTTTCTATTTAAAAAATAATCTCATCTAATTAAATTCTGTTTTAATCAAAAATAAACTTATATTATAAATAATTTAGTGCATATATAGACTTATATCTTTCATCAATAAACCACAAATCAATCGATTGAAGTGTACTCATAAAATAAAAAAAGTAAACTTTTTGTGAAAAAAATATCTGAAGAATCATTTAACATACACTAATATAAATATAAAATATAAAAAAGATACTAATCTGGTATTAAAGGAATAGCATTTATAACAAAAGAATAAAATTAGATATTTGGATACTTAATACGATTAAATTAAAAAATTAAATTAAAAATAAAAAAAAATAAATATTAAATAAAATAAATTTTCAACCGTAAGAATTATGCTTTTAAAATAAATTATTTTAATTGATTTTGGAATAACTTTTTGCAACACAAAAAATCTCTTTATCTTGAATATATTATGAAGACATATTGTAAGGAAAATATATTCAATTCACATAAATTTCACGTGTGTAAATAAAAATTTAATTACTCAAACGACGAAATTTATTCTAATTGACACTGAAACACAATAAATTTTATCAGGAACGATTGCTTTTATTATAATTTTGATTTAATATAAATTTTTTAGGAAAATGTATTTATATATTTCATTAGTAAATTCATTTTTTTAAATATTATATTAAAAATTATGTTAAATCAAAACATGTTCTTTATATACGAGAGAATGAAAAAGAGTTAGTAATTTGTACAAATAATATTATTTTATTTAACACAAATTATTTTTTAATAAAATATTTATTATTAAATATTCAACTTATTATTTTATTAATTATTTTTTTTTATATTAAAAATATATTTCTTTCTTTTCGGAGATATTACCGTTTTAAAGACCAGCGTAAAACTGAAAGTTGCCCAAGGAATGGTTGCCTTTTATAACGTGGCGTCCTCACCACTTGACTGTTTCGTTTGCAGTTTGTGCAGATTTTCACTTGAATTTCTGCATCCACATCCTTGTCTCTATCGTGATTTTTTCTGTTATGGTGAGTTTTGTTTTAGATAGGAATTTTTATGGAATAAAGGACTCAAATTGTATTATTATAACTTGTAGAAAATATGTACTATGGAAAAAGCATCTTGCGCAAAGAGTCAAAACATTTTTCACGAACCTAAGTCAGTCAGTAAAACTGTAAAGGCATTCATCCCGAATAAACTCCATTGGTTTTAATTTGTATCTAAACACCGGTTTTGTTTTTATTTCATATTCATAACAATTTGCAGTTTGCAGATACAAATACAAAACACGTGGGGAAGTTTTTAAGAAATCTGATTTCAGTTATATTCGATTAAATACGTGACGGATTTGTTTTGAATATTAAATTATAAAAAATTATGTGTTAATATTTTTATTAAATAATAATAAACGAGAGAAGTATATTTGATTTAATTGATTTAATAGATACTCAATAATATCTGGTAAAAGATACATAAATGATACTTAGATACTTAAATGGCATTGCATGGAGCAATACTATTTAACCGCACATTTTAAAAATGTAGAGATCAAAACAATCAATCACTTATTAATAATACATATAATACATATAATATAATACATATATAATATAATACATATAATATAATAACATAATATATATGTATTTATTTGTGTGTATAGTATTATATGAATAGGTGATATGTTATTATATATATGTATTAAATAAACCATATATGGATTATGATTAATTACATAGCATACTTTGTACCAAGAAAATAAAGGAATAGATGAGCTAATAAAACAAATGAAGAAAAATAAAATAGCCGTCAACACCAGAAAGAGAGAGAGAGAGTAAAAAACAAATAGAGGCAATTTTTTAAAAAAGAAGAGACAACAATTTTTTGACTAAGCAAGTTCGAAACGCTCCTACTATAGTTTTTAAATTTTGTTTTAAAATTTAATTGACTTTTTCTCTTTGTCTCATAATAAAAACTATGTTTCTCAATAAAAGATAAGATGCCGCAGTAATAAAAATCACAATTTCCATCGCTGATCCTTTGTGCTATCTACCGCCACCAATTGAACAGAAGATACTCCACCTCCTTCTGAATGAAGAGCAAAATATCAGCTGTTTCGAACATTCTAACATTAGAGCGGGATAAGCAAATCCCAAACCAGTTATCTTCTCCTGATCCAGATTAAAACCAGGCAGTTACAAAAAATAATACTTAGATTCGCTTCTAAATGGAGTGGATGTTCCGTTTTCATAAACAGACCTATATTGCTGAGTTGGTTATGCAGGTCATGATGATCTGTATCCGTATTATCCACTGACTTATTATCTCCAAAAGCCAAAATTATTTTATCGAGGCAGTCGTGTCCTATAATCCACATCAAAAATCGTTTAAAATTATGCTACTAAAGCCAAATTCATAGAACTGTCAGGTTGGTTTTTCTTTACCTACTAGGGGAGTTGTTACTTTTTTCGGCATTGGTCGTATACTGATGTTTCAGTCTATGTACGTACGAACGCTATTGTTGTGGGTCAATATTTGAACTCAAGTAAGCTTTTTGGATATAAGGCGGATAAATTTCAACGATTAAAATCAATTTTAATACTGGGATGAAACTGTCAACTGACCAGTTAGCTGTTTCAACCCAGCTAACAGAGCTATCATCCTTCAATGTTAGGGACAAACTTAAGGTTAGTTCGTTTTTACTTAAATAGAAGAGTTTTGGTGTTATTTTCGACTTTGTTTACGAACAGACCTTTTTGTATGTGTTTAAGTGGTCTTCTTTATCTAGCATATAAGCAATATTTTTATACGTGCAATGTACAATAGCTGCAGGAGATTTCCAGGAATCGTATAATTTCTTATATATTACTTTATTTCTAATAAATTTGATTCAACTTTTTGCAGCATTTCAATGTTGGCTGATGTGGTGGTCTGTATAATATAGTTTAAATTGATGTAATTTTGCAGAGATTGTTCTAGTTTCTGTTCTATCAACTTGGGTGAAAGATTTTGTAGTACCAAAGGACTGTACAACATAGTCTAAATTGGATTAATTATGCTATTTAATAGAAAAAGTTCATAATCTAGAATTATAACGTATTGAATTATAGAGCTTTAACAGTGAAGATTGAGTAGATTAAGACTAATTTGCATTTATGAAGTTTCTATAAATATTATTAGACTATTTTTTTATAAAAAAAATGTTTTGATTTTCACCATTATCTGTAAGAAAATTCACAAATCCGATTAAAATTCTAATTTACGAAATACTTCCATTAAGAATGAGTTACTTATAACAGCATTTTTAATTTAAATAATTAATTTATTAGGATTATTAATTCACGATTAATTATTATTTCAATGACACTATGAGATTTTTCTAACACACATTTATTTAATTTTCAAATGAATTTCAAGTTTCTTAGATACTTCTATTGCTTGACCTATGACCTCTTATTTGATTATACATTTTATTTGTCTCATTGGATCAAGATATGTTATTGAAAACTTTATTCTTTTATTTTCCAATTTTATTCAAAGTATTTAATAAATTTTAAAAATTTTCCACTATTTAACATCGATTTTTTGACTTCGCTATAGAATTCTCTAGAAAAAATATCTCGAATGCTTCTGAAGCTTTAAATTAACTAAATTGAATTGAATGAAATTAAACCAATTCAATTTTGTATTTATTTTCATGATTTCATGGATTTGATTTGTATCTATAAAACGTAAAAATTACAAAAATATAAAAAGTGTTCTCTGTCGAGCAGGAAGAAAATTGGTAGCAATAAATTGTCAATAAGACCAATTCGAGGTTTATACCGGCCACGTGTTTTTGTTTTTATTATGCTTAATGTTGTCTAAAATAGGTGAATTACTCTTGACTTTTGAGTTTTCAAGCATAAACTAACAAAATAAATTTAATAGAAATTTAAATCCATTTACCCTTAATATCCTGAACGGACTGTCACGCAAAAGACAAACTTGTTCTACGGCAGGGTCTGCTTGCAATATTGACTCAAGTGGTGTATCTGCATCTTCGCTATCAGCACGTCTGGGACTTGACACACGCTCAATTATCATTGAAAATATCCAGAACTGTAAATATATATAAACCAAACAAAATACATATATATATATATATATATATCTATGTGATAAGAGAGTACTACATTCATTTGTAGATAACATTTTATAATTAGTAAAATTTTTTTTATTCACACTTATATATTAGATATTCACTTACCTTCCCTTTTGATTTTATCGAACCAGATCCCAGTGCCGGCTGCGACTCCATGAGTTCTGGTGAAATGGCACGATTGCCACTGTATAAACCGTTTAATAGTTTTGGCATATCGAAATTGGATATGGTGAATGGTGTGATGTCGAGGCGTCTAGAGACGAAAAAAAAACGACTGTTAGTCAAGTACGAAAAGATAATTTTTTTACAAACAAATGATAATTCAATGCCTGATAAAAGGTATACGTATCATTTAATTTAATGCAATTATAATAAACCATTGATAATAATACTGCTTATCAATTTATTTATTTATTTTTTGACAAAACGATTTTCATCATTAGGAAGAAATGATGAATTTATTTTAATATCTACATATGCAGAAGATAAATACTACTTGCATATTATTCAGGTAATAGTTTTCTAATTGTTATAATTTCACAATAAATTGTAATTATAATTCAAAAATTCTTTTTAAATAAGTCTGTACTATAGAATGATTCTCTCTTTAATTTATCAACGATTTTAGATTAATTTAAAATTTTTAAGCTCAAATCTGTAAATCTAAATTAAAGTTTCAAATGGTGATTATTAAAAAAATTATTGTTATTTATTTTTAATTAAATTATTAATCAAAAAATTATTATTTTAAGAGATATGAATTGCGTGCTTTTACCAAACTTGTTATGTACAAATAGATAAACCTTTATGTATTGGGATACTTTTCCTAAAAAATTTTTCTAAAAAAAAATCATTCTATAGAAAAAAGGTTTTAAGAAATATTTGAAAATCTCCCTTATTAACATAAAAAAAGTGGAATATAGAAAAGGATATCTGAAGTAAACGCAAAAGCATGGACGCACAAAGATGAAGCAGCACTGGGAGTGTTTGTGTGAAAAGTTCTTCGTAAGATCTTTGGTCCTTTACTAGTTGCCGACAATTACCTTGGATGCGGTAATTGAATCATGAAGATTTTCCATAAAAAAAATGCCAATAAATCGTGTCTCCGGTGGAGTCATCAAATTTTGGGGACACTAACTGGAATTGATATATGAAACTGGAGAAGGGCGTTCACGCAGCAGAGACGCCTGGACAGACATGTTGCGTCAGACTGAAACTTTAACGGATTGTGATGACCGAATAAATAAGTAGGTGAGTATATCGAGGGTAAAAATGTTAATCTGTATATTTTGAGTAAAATAAATTTTTTTATGTTAAACCTTTGAAATTTCAATTGTTGAACCTTAATCCATCATTGCTAGAGACCCAGATATATAATCTAAAATGGTTTATATAATGTTCAACAACACTAAACTCTTTAAAAAAAAATTTATAATGCCTTACAGTAAAATTATTTATAGCTAATAAAACGATTTTCTATTCAGAAAGTATTTAAATACTTCCAATATGTAGTCAAAAAACTGCGAATCACTAGAACTAATTCTAATATTCTTATACTGTATATAGTCGGTATCATTATTTTTTTTAATATCACAGTTGCACCAGAAAATATGTTGAACTCACACAGCCCAATGGCATATTGTGATACAATTCCGCATTTTCTCACCTTCTTAGCACTCCTTAGTGGAACCATTTTGTTTCCAATATAAACCATTCTGTAGTTTAGAATCGATGGTGTTCTAATTCTTCAAAGTATCAATCTCCAAACAAGTGAAAGGGTCTGAAGAGGGCCAGATAGTTATATATAAGTTATATATAACTTTATATATAACTTATAAAGTTTTATATAACTTTTTCGTTTATATAACTTTTCTCATGTCACGTCTATACTAATCAAATAATGATCTGTAAAAACAGACTTTATAAGAATAAAAGCTGTTTTTAAGTCAACTGTAGGTCTATCAGTTCCCACAGAGTTAACCATTTCAATAATGAAAGCAGAACAGAGGCAAGTGCTCGTCATAAGAGTTTTTATAGAAGCGACTATTTTAGGCACCTAATCTGGTAGCGGTTAAGATTAGATGTGATTAAGATTAGATGCGGCGAGATTAAAACTGATGTCATAAGATTTACGCTTTTGCCTACTATTCATTTTCTGTTGTACAGTTGCTACAGCTACCTAACAGAACTTTTCAAGAAGGGAACCCGGAAGGCTTAACAATATTCCGCAATTTCAGTGTAGTCTGGAACCCAAAATAAAAGGATGTTGTCTGCAATTGTCAGTGATTTGATGAGACTTATCTGTGAAAATATACATATATAATATACATATATATTATATAGTGTCTTTTTAAGCTTTACTAATGTCATAGATAACTTTAGCTTTAATTTCAATAATAAACTTCAGAACTACAATAATAAGGTAAGTTGAAAGCTTAAAAAATATATTTTAACTATCCGAAAATGCGTTACCAGGTAATCCGAATAAATATTTTTATCTCAGCAAATAAAAACAATAATATTTATTTATTTTATTTGTTTCATTTAGACAAGTCATTTAAAAAACATAACAAAAAAAAAAACAAAAATTAGTGGACTGAATTTATTGTTTTTGCAGTTATTGCACCCTTTAGATACATTTTGATGTGTTTAGGTAAACGTGGAATTTCACAATATATTTAATGGAGTTGCGTGTGGTCTGAGTTATGTATTTCTCTTTATATAAATAAAAAATAAAAGGATAATGACTTTTCATAATTAATAAATGTAGGCATGATGGTTACAAAGTCCCAAAAGGAACCGAAATTTGCATTCATTTAATGTAATGCGTACATATATATATATATATATATATATATATTTAAGTTCAGATTTTATAATTAATAATAATGAACACAAAATTTTATCTGCTCTGAATTGAGTGATGTAAAAGTGATATCATTTAATTAAATTAAGTTTTTCTTTTTTCAAATGTATTCAGACAAATTAAGTACTGATTATTCGAATCGCAATGTAGCTTCTTTCAAATGTTCTAACATCGCATATGAGCAATTTCCGGAATGGTTAAAAATTTTTTCATTTTAAATAAATACTTGAGATATCATATTACAAAATTCTTTAAGAATAAACTAATAAATATAGACTCATTAACAGAGAAGGGAAGTTTTTAGCAAGATTTTAAAAAGGGGATCCTAATAATCTAATACCTGGTAAAGTATAAGTTTTTTTTTGGTTTGTTTCCTTTTTCCCTGATTTTTGTCTAATACTGTGAGAAATTATTCTAAATCCTGGTAGAATTTAAATATAAACATCTGGGTGTCCAAAAAATCAAAATAAGCGTGAATATAAAATAAGGTCCGCCTGCAGGGTCAAAAAAATGGTGTATATATTTCGATCAATTAATGAAGTAATAGCTCCTCCTAAAACAGGTTATGATAATAATAAAAATAATGTTTCAATTACTTATTTTTATGGATTGCCATAAAAATTATTCGACAACGTATTGTTAAAATAAAATATGGTAAATCGTATTAGTCTTACGCAGGCACGTATATAAGAAAGGGATTTGATGTGGCTGAAGCTCCAAGTCCCCTCCAAATTAATCTATAAGCAATAGGCACATAAATACAATATCGATTGAACATCGTTATCGGCAGTGATATATGAATATGAAGTGGGTTGTGGAAAATGCGAAAGATTCTGAAATTGATGCCACTTAATTTCTAGTAATGAAGTAATTTTTTAACATTTTAGCTATTCTATCAATCTATCAATATTGTTATGAAAAATAATAAAAATCCTAGCAGTAAATACAGTGACGACGCGTGCCCTATTTGGAAGGGTGTGCGGCTCTTCTTTAATGTTTTTTTTACATGTACCACTTAAATTAAAATATATGAGATGTTTTATTAATAATAACCATATTATATTAGGCAACAATATATTCGCAATATTATATTAACAATTCATTAACAAAATAACATATTAAACAAATTAAATTAATAATTTATATATAAATTTAATATTATATCAATATGGAAGAAACAAAACATTTCACATAATTCTCGTAACATCAAACCAACTTTTTTCAAACAAAAGAGTTTGTACTTAGAAACATACATGTTTGTGCAGTGATCAAACAAAATCGAAACCACTTGCAATGTGCGCACAAGTACCCCGCACCATAAGAACAGAAATTCGTGGGTGCTGCTGTTAAAAGGGGAGAGACGAAATGTGATAGAAATGTATGGTGAGATGAGCTGCAAACTTCAGCCGCTCATGCAATCACTTTGGCAAATCATCATGTTGGATTCGTATGTGTGCAGTTGATATTCGAGTAGAACAGAAAATTACTCTCATACAATTCCCACTATATAAATCTCTATTTCTGATATTACAAACGGGAGCACACGCACATTATTTTGTTCATATGCAACGTATGAATGTTAGGCCAACTTCTTTGCACACAAAGGGGAGAGACGAAATAAAATAGAAATGTTCTGTGATTTGAGCTGCAAATATATCAGCACACCTAACAAGTATAGCAGCTAGCAGAAGCAAATTGATTGAGTTTTCATAGACAATTATATTTAATTGTTTTTGCTAAAACTTTAAAAATATATATATGGAAATGTAATAATTAATAATAATTCTTGATGTGAAGATACCTAATAAATTTATATACCTATGTTATTTGACATTTTGCAAATTATGTTAGGGTGTTCACCGCACACCTCCGCACCTTAGAGCAATCGTCACTGAGTAAATACCACTGATTTTGATAGACTGAGTAAACTCGCTATAATTTTTATACATTGGGGTACTGCAAGTAATCCTGATAAAGTGATCCATTTTTTATCAAAAAATAATCTAGGAAATTATACTTATATATATTATATAAGTTTCTAATTTTACTTTTATACTAAAGTAGCACACATTAAATCTATAAATTTATGGAAACTGGAATTATTACAAGTACCTTATTATTATAAGATTCTTTCCGTTTATTAAAAATGAAATTTATATAACTTTTAACACACATATGTAATTTGGAATAAAGTGCAGTCTTAAGCACCACTTAATATTCTGTGGCAGAATATAAAAACGTTTCAATGAGTGATCTCAAGCATATACAAGTCAAAAGAAGTAGTTGCGCGAAAACACTGCACTGCTTACATCCACTTTTCAAACACAACAACCTTAGCGCGAAGAACAGAAGGGTGACTTATAGCCAGATAATTAGACCAGCATTACTTTATGGGT